GGACCATATCTCGGAAACGAAGGGCCATAAGCACAAACGGTTTTAGAGTTTTCTTAGTCTCATCAAGATCTACTTATGGCCAAAAGACGGAGTCAAAAGCGAGGAATCAGTTGGGGAAGTTCCCTCGATAGATCTCGGGCGGTAGATTAATATTTGTGCTAGACTCGAGCTTTCACTCTGCTTTCTTCTATGAAATATTGGAGTCCAAACGATTCACAATGGCTAAACATTTCCTCCCGTTTCTCAGATGCGTCGCGTTCGGTCGAGCTGAAACTTCTTCTACAGGTACTAGACACTGTTTAGTACTGGGATATTTTTAGTTTTGTGCCATTTTTGTAAAACATTGAACTTTGGAAAATTCGAAATTCTGAAACGTCATACTAGATATATTTCGCGATTGTCATTTCTCCAACGAAACTGATGAAACACTGAGCATACTTAGCTGAGTGAAAGATCAGTCCTTGATCCTCAGAACACCATTTTCGCAGGAAATAAGCGTCTTTATCAGGAAAATTCATTATAATTACAAGCGAAATTTCCTGCTGGAGTATTCTAGAGTCTTTTCTCATAAAACTACTAGCTGACAGATAAAACATCTTTTGTCTGGCATTCGAAGAAGAACACTTCAGAACTGAACTTGTGCTAAAAATTGACACTGAAAAGTCTAAGTGTAAGGTTCGGGAGCGAGCAGGTACCCTTAATGCGCTTTTTTTATTATACCATTTATCAGATTGACAATTAAAGTAAAGATGTGTCTATTCATCTATCTTGAAGCTACTTTCTTATGTTATGTAGTTAAAGATGTGCGACATCAGTCCCAGTTTCGATCCCGATCCCGCATGATCGGCGGGACCGAGATTTTTAAGAAAAGTCTAACTTTTGGAGTCAAAAGACGATCGTTTTTCTTATCTAGATGCAAAAATAACTTCATGAATTGCCTAGTACCTATGCCTTTAATATATTCAGAATTGTCGAATTCTCGGAAAGACTTCGTCAACGTTTAATGGGACTGCCGACTGGGCCATGGAACAAAGAATCACGAGTTTTTTTATCTCTAAGGATAGCAGATTGATCGCATTGTTTTTTGTTCGTTCATAATATCGAATTGAAGTTTTCTCTGTTTCGCTTCGCCATTGAACGCAAATAATAGAGATGCTAATTTCGTAGACTCCTATGCTTGTTGGGTATTAGCTAGCACTTTTATTCCAAAAATTCGAACTCCTCTTTTTCTCTTTTTTTTCAAACCACAAATCCTCTTTATTCCTCTTTTTTTCCGAAGTGTCGATGGGATACCAGTCGTATTGAGGCGATGTGGAGAAGCGCTGTTCGACCCGCCGTGCTGGTTATCGCAAACTCCTCGTCTTTGTGAAGATGCAAAACAAAGATCTGACGAAATAGATGATACCGTACGAGTGCATCAATAACCATGAGTAACAGCATGGCCGGTAACATCATGAACGACACAGTCAATGATTGGAATCGCGCGTTCCATGCCATCTGTGTTATGATAGTAGCAGGATGAATAAATGGCAGCCAAAGGCAATGATAACTTTGACTCAAATGGAAAAGGATGACATTCACATTGAACATCAAAATGACATAGAAATTAAGATAATAGACTGCTGCTGTTGGAGATATGATTGCAGATTCCACATCGTGGTTAAATGATGATGAACGCAAGAGCTGAGACAGCCATGCAGTGATGATTTTGAGGTTGAGAATGAGCCACATCGTCAATGCAATGAGCCCAGTGACAAGAAATGAGCCGAAAATACAGATGCCGATTGTGAGGACATAAGCATCATGGCTGGAATTAAATAGCGTGAACTGCCATCGCCATTCGGCGGTGGGACGATAACCATAGGCGAAGACAACCAATAATGCAATCATCATTAACGACCACCATACTCCAATAATCACCACAGCAAATAAAAGAAAAGTTCGGTGAAGACGTTGAATGTTAGATAACACCGGTTTGTACTCCTCGATGTTTGCAGTTCGACAGCGATTCCATAATAGTCGCCGCCATCCTCGCCTGCATGCAAAGACAATGAGCGTTGGAAGGATAGTGTGCAGATCAAGAAAAGTCGATCGATGGAAAATGATGCAGATCATGGCGATAGCGAAGATGGCAATAAAGAAACTGAAAATGATATTATTCGTTGTGATAAATGCAACGTGATGAGCTTTGGATAGTTCAATAAGTGCAGAGAGTCTTTCAATGTTAGCGTTGAGTCCAGCAACGTCAGCATTCACTCCAGCATCGTCGGCAAATAGTGATGCATACTGTGACTTCAAAGAGGATTGGTTCCATTGAGTCAACAAAGCTGAGGCCAACGCTTGCTTCTGTTTGAATAAATCGAAGTACAAACGAGCCCATTTCGATGGGGATACGAGGGCGGAGATGAGCGGTGAAATGAAGGACCCTTCACTTTGACGTGGCACTGGTACACCCAAGAGAGCGGTGATGCTTGTAGCGATATCGACAGTATCAAATGTAGAATAGACTGGCAATGAATTATTCACAGAAGCCAATTGAGAATCCTTTGCATATACGATGCAAGGAACGGCTCTCAACACATGCACATCACCACCATGACCACCAACGTCGACATTGCCATGATCGCTCGTTATAATGAATATAGTGTGAGTCTGTGTCATCGCATCGAGTGCAGCGATGGCATTGATACCTGCGCGAACGAACGCCACCTTATCATCGATGGCCGATTGTGTCTGCGATGATTGAGCGCCAAATGAATGAGATTCACCATCGATGTCACCATAATAAGACAAGAACAAATCATAGTCGAAGCGAACAATGACATTCGATCCATTAGATCGTTTTTCAACTGTTTGACTGTTTATAGCGTTGTGGAATCGTTGATTGTAAGCAATGTCTTTATTATGATCACTATGACCTTGAGTATAGTACGCGTCACCGAAGTTGTTCGTGAGTGTGGGACTGGTACCATCACCATAGAATGGAGTCAAATGACCGTTCAATAGAATGGACCACCATGCATCGCCGGTAATTCCATTCTTCATTCCGACACTCATTGATGAAGTAAAAATGGAATCAAATGTAAACGGTGTTAGAATATCATTACCTGTACGACCATGCAACGATGGTCGAGCACCAGTGACGAGAGTCTGCCAATTAGGGATGGATATGGTTGGTAATTGAGCGGACATGTTCAATATCAATGAGTCATGTACGAACCATGGCGATGTTACCAATGCATTCAATGATGGATTCGTTTGTGTGGCATCAAATCGCAACCCATCCAATATGAAATAAACCACTCGTGTACGAATGTTATCATTGATATTAAGACTCTGTGCACCGAAATATGCTTGAGTGGTATTCCTATTGTTCAATGCTCTGACGAGATCCGGGGTGAGGTTAGGATCAAAGCCAGCAGTGATATTGTATCCCTCTGACATGGCATAGATGAGTAATAAAATGAAGAGCAGAAAAGTAACGTATAGTGTATGATGCTGTTTTTTATAACGAAGCAAGATCGTTGATTCAACATTGTCATCAATGCTCCACGGTCGAAGCCTTGACGTAGACGGCTGAGTGGATAATGGTTCATGTATGAAACTGGTCATTCCCACGGAACATTTCTCGAGATCAACGTTAAGGACGTTAGCCGATGTCGACGCCTGGTTCTCGAGGTTGAAATTGGATGGTAATAATGTCACTTTGAAATCCGTTTTCTCATCTAACAGTGACAGACAGTTGTTTGACGGGCCTGGAATTGGACCTAGGCGTAGGTCTGCACTGCTCACTAGCCCGGTCAACTCCATCGTTTGCTCATCACAATGCGTGTCAGTAATAGTTTCACTCTTTCTTCCATTGTATTGGTCCATGATTGGGACAGTGTTCGGTCACTGGTGAATATTTGGCGTCAAAAATTCTGCATTCTGACGAAGATGCATAACGTTGAGGGAGCAATATCTGGCAACCTATGATTAACGATGATCAGCCACTTAAAAGCCGACACAAATTCGGTAGAGTATCGTTATGAGACTTCCTCGCTGATGTTTGTGCAGCCTAAGAAAGCAGCACAGTAAACAACACAACAAACAAAGCCAATAGAGGAAAAATGAGCACGGTTAGATATGACGCACGTCATGAGGAAAGTCTCCTAAAAAAGAGACATACAACGAACGAGGAGCGAGTAGGGTTGAATCTTGCATGCGGTCTGTCAGGGATTCATGGGATAAATTCCATTTCTCACTCAACCGAGAACGAGAAAAAGAAGATTACGTGCCTCGCTGAAGCGGTGCGGAGCTGTAGCAAGGAAAGAGAACAAGCAACGGATGCTAATTTCCCTTTTTTCTTTCTTCCATGGCCCACGAACGAATACAGTGACTGCGACAATTGATTACTTTCACAACGAATGACAAGTCAGATATATTCGCTTCAAAGAGCTATTTGAAAAATCGAGAATTCTTTCTGATAAATTCTTGTCTACAAGTTATTTAGTCATCGCAATTTCCCAGGCAGACAAGCAATCGGCAAAAACGGTGCTTCAAACACTATGAGTCTCAACTGTTTGAACACTGTGGTATGTCCCCCAAAACGCGTTTATACTACTTTAAAACGTTTAGTTGATTAACACGTTTTCACGGTTTAAACGGGCGAAGTTTAAATGTCTGTGACCGTTTAAACGTTTTTCTAACATATCAAACAATTTTAAAATTTTGAGAAATTTTATTGTTAATTGTCGTAACGATTTAGTAGGAGCTTGTTTTCCTTATAGCTGAGGATGTTGATTCTAGCTTTAGACAGCTTTCTTGTTGAATAGAACTGATGAAGCACGAAAGTATAAAAAAGCAATGTTTACTTCAAAGAGACGCGAAAAAAATTCCAATTCTGACGTGTCAGATCACGTAAAATTTTAATGACGCTTCAAAGCGTCACCGGCCCCGAAAGCGTTAACAAAATAGTATTTGAAAATGAGTATTTTCAGCAGAATAAAAACAGACTAGAGACTTTTGTGCCCAGGTACTAATTCGTTAAACCTCTCTTTCATATTAATGTAATTCTGTTCTGAAGAGTTATTGGGATAAAAAAGTTCGAGTGATATATACCTTGTTTTACGACACTGTAAAAGGTAACTGATCTTGATTACTCTGGTTATTCATCTTCAGCTATCAACAGAAGCAGCAACAAAGTCTTATCAACATGCACACCTTTGTTGCACAAATATAACTATTATTACTGATAAGACCTCGGTCTTACATATTCCAAGTGAAAAATGTATCAACAACACATACAAGACGACATTGCATTACAACAAGATTCAAGTTCATATGAATATGGACATACAAAATCAATGATTCAGTATGATGGTAATGATCTTGATGAAGAACAGTCAGAAGAAGAATTGGACACGAAATCGAAAAAAAGGACGTTTTTTATAATTAAGTTAAACGAAGAGTAACCAATAATAATCTCTGTAATTATTCTATTAGTATCGAGACTTGGTAATAGCAAGCGAAAACATGTATCCAATAAAGAAGGTATCAAGAAACGATGTTCTGATAAAATACATACATTATTTAATCCAAGTAACTACACAAAAACCATCAAGGCTGCCATGAAGTTTACAGTTAACTTAGATTTTTCATCTTTATAGACAGAATGACACCGCCGCCTACACAAGCATTAGACTCAAGTGAAACAATACCAATTGATCATAATGCCGATGATATTCAAGTTGGAAGTGATGATGTTACAAAGGTATCATTAGTGAATACTGCTTCGCCATGCATACAACGACAAATGAATAGATTCAATGATGGACTGATTCAACAACAAGATATTTCACTTAAAGAAAGCAGAAAAGGTAACTAAAGCTGCCATTTTCTAAGGCTAGTCTCATAAAATAGTAAGAAAAATGACTCTTAAAATCAGACCAGATGCTTTAATCTGACATTCTCTTTTCATAGATTCAACAGATATAAGACAGCCCTAAAGAAAAAATTCAAACCATTGTTAAAATGGGTGAAGCAAATTAAGATTGTAAATAAATTTTACATAAGACATAAACCATCGTTAAGGATTTACTCAAATTTTCCTTTAGGGTTTGCCGTTGGCTCCAGATGTAGCTAACTTGCTAATTTAAACGCATATCGTAGTTGTGTTGGAT